GAAGAAATGGCTGTTATAGTGAGCTAWAAGAACTTTTTGCATGCTGTGCTCATGTTTCTGTTAGAGGCTTTTGCACAGTGTAGCACACTCCCACTGAAGCGGGAAGCTTGGGGCTCTAGAGRCATTCAAGTACAGCATGTAAAATGAGGCACTGATAATCAAAAGAAACTATGCTCCTCCTGCATAATAAAGGAAAACCAAATGTGTGTCGGTCAGTATGCAGGAAATATCTCGCTCAGTAAGACAGTAGCCCAGTGCTCTCTCTCCAAGAGCAGTGAATAATGCAATGTTTCGTGTGTGTAGATAAACCTCAGTGTTCTCTGGAGTTTTTTCCATTGGTATCCACAATCATGAGATCGAGGATGGCAAGAGTGACAATTCCTGCCAACTTAGTGAGGCAAGAWTTCCCTTTATAAAAGCTATCCTGACTCTTTGTCAAAAGAGTCTGTGCTCAGAGATCTTAGATTTTGCTATAGACCCTAACACTTTTACAAGGATCAAAACTTGATTCACTGGCTTGAAGCTTGAAGGATCCTCTCAAGTTCCCTTCAGATGGGAGCTGCATAATGTCTGTACCACTGGACTGGTGGATTGTCTGCCTGTAGTGGTAGGTGACATGGCCTGACCTTCATGTCTGCAACTTCACACTGAGTCTCTTCAGGACTCTTGTGTGAACCCCATAGCCTTGGGGATGCCTTATCTATTTGGCTTAATACTCATGCACCTCCTCTGGTTTGTTTACTACAAAAAATGTTTGATGTAGGTTGCTGTGTTAGTTTTGCTTGGCCCAGYTTTTTGGAAGTGGGGGGGCCAAAAACATGGCTCCTGTGAGAGGCTTCTGGAGGCTTCCACTATGTCCAGCAGAGCTAATTGCTGTTGGCTCTGAGGATGATGGACATGCCACTGACCAAACCTGGGCCAATTGGAGATAGTGATTATGCCTCTGTGAAAACATATTTAAGAAGAAATCAAAACAAGGGAGCACACAGTAGTTTTGCCAGTGGAGGAGGCTGAGAAATATGTGAGGGAATGCAGACACCAAGGTCAGTGGATGAGGGGGAGGAGCTGCTCCAGGCGCTGGAGCTGGGATTCCTTTGTAGGCTGTGGTGATGACCATGGTGAAGCAGGCTGTCCCCCTGCAGTCCATGGGGTCCACAGAGGGTGCAGAGATCCACCTGCAGCCCGTGGAGGAGGGAGGTCCCCACGCTGGAGTGGGCGAACGCCGAGAAGGGGCTGTGTCCAGCAGGAGAGCCATGGAGAAAGAGGCCTTGCTCCCGAGATGGAACAGCCTGGCCTTGGGCCTGTACCCAGTGGATGAGGGAGCCCATAGTGCAGCAGTTTGGGCACAAGTGTCTGCCCGTGGGGGGACTCACAATACAGCAGATGTGTGTGGACTGCTGCTCGTGAGAGTAGAACCACGTTGGAGAGGTTCACAGAGAACTGCCTCCCGTGGGAGGGACTTCAGGGCAACGCAAGGGAAGGACTCTTCTCCTTCAACAGCCGCAGATCGATCCGGTGATGAACTGACCAACCCCACACCCTGAAATGACCAACCCCACACCCTGAAATGACCAACCCTACAACCTGTTTCATTCCCCCCCCCCCCCCCCCCCACTTTGTAGTTGGTGGGAAGGGGGGTCGGAGTGGGAAGAAGATCGGTGTCTTTGAGGGTTGTATTTTATTTCTCATTCTCCTCCTCTGACTTTGTTAGTAGTAAATTCACTTCATAATTTAAGTAGTGCCTGCTTTGTCCATCAAGTGTTTCCTCCCTGCTCCTTATGAACCCTTTTGTTAGTTTTCTTTTTTTCCCCTTYGCTCTTCTCTACCCAGTATAGTGGTAGGGGAGAGCAAATGAGCAGGTGTTGTGGGTGCCTGGCTTTTAGCCAGCATTCCAAACCACAACAGCTGCAGAATGACAGATGATGGGATTCAGCATATGACATAACCCTACCTGTCTATATGCTCCAAGAAACCCTTTTGTCCCCATTGCTGAAGCAGCTGTGATATCATAATCTAAAGAAATAAAACACATAATCAATACCATATTTTAAGCAGGACTATTCCACAGTCATCAAAAGATCCATAGCCAGATGCATAATTCAACATTCTCCAGACATGAAATAGCGTGCGGTGTCTCTTGGAGCCCTTTATAAAGAGAGATGCCAAGGGCAGCAGGTCCTAATAGTTCATGTTACTGGTGTCTCCAAGGATCATGGCAGTGTTTGGAAATTGGGGTGGGGGGAGGGAGAAATGGATGAAGAGCTAAATATGATAACTGGGRAGAAAGAGGAAGGTAACAGATATTGCTTTACCTTCCTGTCCACATCGGTCTCTCCACTTTAATAGTACGTCTGTGATGAGCTAACAGCTGGAAGATGAAACCATACTTAGATGTGTTCAGTGTCTCCTTTCCTTATTGCTAACCATACAGGGGCTATAGTTGGCAGCTTACTTTGTAATGTTGTTGTGGGCTGCCAATATTGTTTTAACGGAAAATTAAAATGAAAAAATAATGAACGACTGTTTCTTCTATGCTATGCTTTACACTGAAGTTTTTCAAAGGAACCTACCAGGAAGAGATAGAAGTATTTACAATTTTGATTCTTGAAATCTGAGGGTTAAGGGGTATCAGCTGTACTATCCATGTACTGARACAACCCTCTAGCTCTGGTTCTGAGTTCTATGGTGGTCTCTCTTCCTTTGGCAGAACTGACAATGTGCATGGGCAAAACTGCAAAAGTGCAGAGCAACTGAGGAAGTACAGAGCCATTTTCTTGTATTTTCTTATAGTTTGGAATATATTTTCTTCTCTAAATATAATTAGTTTACTGGTTTGGTACTTGCCTGTGTGAAAGTGCTGGTGTGCATTGTTGACACTTGAATGTGTAGAACAATTCTGTCGATGAGAGGCTTGGGACCCGTCAGAAAACCTATTCTTAAACTAGAAAACAAGCAAGAACTTACTACAAAATTGCAGTGTGCTAATACTTTGTCTAAGTTATATGTGGGAAATCATGAAACCATTTTATTGATAGTGTAAGGATCTCTTAGGCATTAAAATTTACCTTTATCTTAATTCTGCCCTAAGCTTAGGTAATTTAGAAGCTGACTATCAAAGTAATGAAATAAAAACATTTAAGAGATTTTAATGCTTATACTAGCTTCTTAGTTATGAAGATTCAGGACAAAATATGTGTTTGTAAACTGTCCTCTGTAACCATAAAGACTGCATGAATAGAAGGAAAGGAAAAATAGGTTTTCTCATAACGAAAAGTCATGAATGCTTGGGCTTTAGGACAAAGATAAAAAATGGCAAATGGCTTTAYTCTTTCACTCCCTTTCAGTACTGCAGAAGGAATGCAATTTAGATAYGATGAACTAGATGGTTATTTATGCTTCAAATATTATTACCTGTCTTTACAGATTGGCTGAAGTTTTTATTTGAAGTAAAATGGAACCAGTAAACACATATATGTCTTTGGCAAAGATAATATTGTGCCATGCCATTTGCATTGTCACTTCTGAAAATGCAAGCATGCTTAGCATTATGTTGTCTCCACTTTCTCTAGGGTGGGTTGTAATCCACCAGCTGCCAGTGCAGAATTCACATTAAACTTTTATATCTATAAGGATAATAGACAAAAGCAAGTTAAAAATCAAATATGTTGACTTGCGTGCAGTGGAAAACAGCCAACTTAGTTTTTTCAGGCACGTAGAAACAACCTGAAAGAATTGGAAGGCTAGATTATCAGTATAACCCTATGAACCRTTTACAAAGAATGATTGTTTCTTTTTTGTATTGCACGTTCAGAGAGCTTGCAGGAATGGTAAGAGATAGATAGATAGATAGATAGAAAGGGAAATGGAGTAAGAAGAGAGAAGAGCTCCTGAGAGTTCCAGGAACCAGCATCTTTCTGCCTAGATGGTGCCTACAAGAGTGGGTTGCCTGGGCAAAGAGGTTTAACTATCAGCATCAGAAGAGAAACTGGAATTAAATGACTGCCAAGAGATGACATGAAAATTTATAGCTGCGAAAAGCTGTTGATTCAAAAGTTCATTCCAAAGTGGACAGTTATTAAATCAGAAAACACTGTGACATGTCTCATCACTTCRTGTGAAGTCTTGTGTCTTAACTGAATAGGCAATGCTAAGTAGTCTGCAGCTGGCCTTACCCAGATGAGAGAATTTTAGAGAAAGAGTCGGTCCTGATAACTCGGCCATCCACATCCATTGAGAGGAAAGTTGGAGCCCATGGCTTGGAATAAAAATAAAAAATAAGATTCAAGGTGCTAGTTAGGATTATGATTATTTTCTTTACTATGAAGATACAATTTCTCAAATGTGTACTCCAAGAAAAACATTGTGGTAACTTGCTGACAAGAGATGGTTTAGGCTAGCTGTCTGAGATGTGATTACAGTATTCTATGAAAGTCTTCAAGAAATCATATTTGTTATTTTTTTGATGCTTACTTAGCCCACTGTTCAGCATACAACTGTTCAGTTTAAGTTTTGGTACAATGCTGTAAGAAGGAGAGAGAAATAATGATTTTTTTTCTGCCAAGAYCTATCTCTTTAGGGAGTAAAGAGGTACTGCAATCTCTAAAATGGAGCCTTACAGCTTTCTGTTTTCCTATATTAAAAAATCAAATTAGGAGACATGACCAAATTGTGAAAATCTGAGTTCAGCACACTTTTTCCTTATCAAGAATTCTACTTTCACACCTTTTCCCCTACCTTTTCCAACAAAGCTACACAGTGCTATGCAATGAGTAAGTGAAGCAGTTTTATTGCCTCCTTCCATAAAAGCATATTTCAAAAGAGAAAATGCTGACCTTTACCTCTTCCAACGTTTTACTGCTTTATAAGAGCATTTTTTATTTCTGAGGTTAGGTAATTTTAAAGACTGTGCAACTGTAGATTCATGTAAGAAATTTGGGGGAAAGTTACATGAAGAAGGGAACCTGCCTATCCAGCATCCCCTCCTGTGGTACCTGGGAGAACTCTGGATTCCCCAAAAGGCAAAGGGATAAAAATGGGGTATAGTATGTGGGAATATGCAGTCTTCTGCTGAATGAAGGAAGAGACGGGGAGAAAGGAACACTGAGGATGCAATTTTCAAGTACTCTTCAGTGACATACTTGCCTTACTCTGAATACAAAGTCTTCATCATTTTCTGATTATTGAAGAAAATTCTATCCTGTATGAGGCTTGAGGAATTGGAACCACTGGTTAACAGGACAAAAAATGCCCCAAAGGGAAAATGATTGAAAGGAGGACAGACTATGAGGCCTCAAATTGCCTTGGTAGGACATGAACTAGGAGCATGAAGTAAGGCCTAGGRCTCAAACCTTAGTTCTCTCCTAAAACCTTAGTTTCTCTTCAGAAAATAAGGTGTTACTAAAGATTATGGAAGACAAATTACCTTTTCAAATTGAAGAAAGTAGTAAGGATCATCTTCTATTATGAGAAAGTCATATTTCCTTGCAAGCTAAAGCAATATAAAAAGTAACAAAATTATAGAAAGGTAAAGACACTGTAAATTTAGTCAGATTTTTTTTTTAACCAGGACCATATTATGATTCTATTGATTGGTCATTCATTACATAAGAACCCCCATCATGAGAAGCCTTCAAGTGTCCAATTTAGATATCAAACAATTAGAATTGCAAACATGGTAGCTGCAGTATAACGATGTATGTAAATGAAGCTCTGTTCCATGTGGCATTCAAACTGTGCAGCCAACTTGCAGGATATCAGGTCAGAAGCCCATGGCAAAGGACCCAGCCAKCAATGGGCGTACATGGAAAAAGGTTATCTAATGCACAATCTGCCTCTGAAGAGTTGTCATGAAAGAGATTCTCTAGAAACAAGTGAGGAATATTGGACTGGTAATGGGCCCAAATGCTATACATGGGGTACTTTCAACTGAAACAAGGCTGCCTTTTATCTATTTCCACCCACAARGTTCACATGACCCCAGCTCCATACCTGGTAAATCTCCTTCTTGCGCTCTGCCGTCAGAGAGTTGCCAGTTGGGTTGCATCCATTTGGAATAGTGTACAGGAATTTGGGGAGGTGATGGCTACAATTCTTTACATCTTCTGGGCTCCAAGCAGACAGAATTTCTTTTAAAGCTTTTGGAATAATGCCATGTTGGTCACTAGGAATATTAATTATATTACAACCCAAKGGTCTCAGCTGTTGACAGAAGGAACAAAACTGTCATAATTGTGTGATTCAAAGGTCTTCCTTTTGTCATTGGCACTGTAAAATTTCATCAGTCCAAAGTCTGTCTTTTTGATTTTATACTCATCTCAAGCTCCATTTGATCATGAGTCAAATAAAACTTTGCCTGAATTTGCTGTAAGTCTTGTCAAACTTACCACATTTCTCTTTATTTGTCCTGCTAAACCAACTGAGAAGAAATGGGTAACTCCTATGCTCAATTGCTGCTCTTCTCTAAGAACTCAGATTTGGTTTTTCAAGCAGAAAGGGATTTTGTAAACTTGAACTGTTCTCTCAGGACTCCTCATGCTCTCACCACAGATAGTTAAGGTCACAGCACCTTTGGTTCCTACTGACAATTTACACTCTACTTTGGTGAAGGTGCCAGAGCTTTAAGCTGCTTTTCACTGACAAAGGGCAAAGAATCTGTTCTCAATAGATATACAGAACAAAACAAAGGAGAATGAAATGAYGCTACTGCAATGACACGTTGACAGCAGTCTGAAAAAATATGGGTAAAATACCAARGAAAAAGCTTGCTGTCTCTCCTCTGTAGAATTTCAATTTGTAGCATGTAGTGCTTTGCATTTTAAAGTAAAACAGCAGGCTGCTGCATTGTGAAAATACATTCCTAGCTAAGTATAGCTGATTATACTATATATTCAAATTTAGCAAACAATAACAATTAATTTTGCTCCAAGGGTAGACAACTGAATTTTTGGTCTATTTCTTCTAACCCTTCTTGCAGTTCTTAGGCTTTTTGAGCTGACATTTAATTTTATACTGATTGAGCTACTTTTTCAGAAGTAAACTTGCTACTTTTGTATAGTTCTCACTAATTCATATCTTCCTACTCATATATGGATGTTTCAGGTGTATTCCAATATTATACTATTTACAGCTATTGTATAATCTGATCATGAAATTCAGGTAAATGTGCTGACATGTTAACACTCCCACTTGTTAAAAATGTAATTCAACCAAACTATGTCCTGATGGATTTCTTTTCAATCCCATATGTGATCTTAGCACTTGAATGAACTGGTATTTGGAAGAAGAATTTCAAATAGTTTTTACAGAACTTTTAGTAGAAAAAACCTTCAATGAGTTAACTGGTTGGACACTGAAATCTTCAGTCTTAGATATGTTTTTTTTTTTTTTAATGGAAAATATAGACAGTGTTTATAAGACTGCAGATCAAGCACTAAACTGCTGTTTAGTTAAAATGTAGCATTCACAATGTTTTGTAGCTAAAGGATACTTACAGCTGCTAGTGTCCCAGAGTATGTGGGCGCATCCAAAAGAATGTTGTCTCCAGGATTAATGAGCATTTCAAACACCTGCAAAAGAAAAGAGTCTGTTTTAAAGATTGTTCCATTTTTGTACATTGCTGCATATTCTTCTTAGTGGGATTAAAAATCTTGATTAGATACTAGTAATTCTCTAACCATTTAATTATCCTGTCTGTAAGAAAGGCAATGAACAGATGAAAAATCTGCTTTAGAGCCAAATTAAGATGGGTTATCAGCTAGAGAATCTCAACTTGACATGGAAAGACAGTGCTCTGAAGCATGGTTTCTACTGTATAAGTCACAGAAAGGATTAACTTTGGAATAGCAGTGAGAACRTAGAGGAAAGGGTTATTATTTCAGGAAGCAAAAAAACTCCAAAAAATCAGGAAGTAAAAAAGAGAAGAAACACATTTAGRACAGTGTTATGGTAAAGCATCTATGCAATTATTGCATAATCCGTTGCCTTATAGCTTATTTTCTATGCAAATTTCTTTAGTTACCTGAACTGTCATGCAGCTCTGACAGTCTAGAATACTACTCCAATTTTGTTTCATTTCCATTATCTTGTATTGGTATTATTGTAGTCATGCATTTAGTAAAGTACCCTGTATATAGTTATAGAGGGCACTTAATGCTGAATATAGCTGAACTGATGGAAGAATAAATATCTCTCAATGAAATGCTTCTAACATATGATACTTTTGGTCTTACTTTACACAAGCCTTCCTGGCTGCCAGTTGTGACACAAACTTCCATCTGTCCTTTTTCAGGACTGTAATTGGCTGTGGGGGGATCATGCAGGTTCCGCTGGAAATCTTTTAGCCAAGACAATAGCTCTGGAATCCTAAAACATGAATAAGAAGGTGTATTTAACACCTTATATAGGCCAAAGCTAGGCCATTCCTCTAAATCTAGCATGCAATCCTGAGTCTGATTTCAACTGTCACACAGATACACTTAGATGCAATTGTTATGACTGCTTTATCAAATGAAGGAAATTACATAGGCATGTGTGGTCCATGAACCAAATTATCATACTGAAATCTGGGCAGAAATTATTTGCCAAGGATGAAACAGAGTGGAGGCTGAAAAATACCCACTCCTAGAAAGGATCATTCTGTGCTCCAAAGCAGCATGTGACAAAGCTCTTGATGTTGCTAGTAACAGGTTGCAGATTATAAGGATTTCTAAGACAAATTTTCCAAAAAAATGTCTTAGGATCTTGTAGGATGTTCACAAATAGCTGGGTTCATCTAAATATTAAGAAAAGTCTTAACTGATGCCCCGTGTGTCTCTGTAGATATGCAAGCATTTTTGAAAATCTGTCCCTACCTTATTCAGTGCCGTCTGCTGAGGAGTTTACATGAGCACTAAAGTAATGTAATGATATGCAATTTTTCTACCAAAAATGACAATTCTATAAATACCTCCACTCAACGACCATAAGTTGTACACACTGACTTTAGTAGGTGCCAAATGAAAAAAAAAAAAAGCTCCAAAACATAGAAACGATGTATTGTAATGCAGTATCTTTTATATATCTGATTTGGGAGTCTGCAGTCTCAAATACCAACAGCTAGCAAATGCTCTGGCTGGAGAATTATTAGGATTAGGGTTTGAGGTGATATTTTTTTTTTTTTTTTTATTACTCACTGCAAAATTTACCACTTGAGTTGAAATGTAAACAGTGAGGCAAATAGAAAAGCCATGGGTTTTGGAAAGAACCTGTCTTTTGGAACAAAAGGGTTATGAACAGGTTTTAAAAACACAGGTGCCTTAATGCAATGACAAGGGACATTATGACCCTTAGCTTCTGGTATTTTAAAGTGCAAGCAGCTGTGGCAGATACCCTGCTGAGGCTGAGTACTGGAGAGCTCTCTTCATCAGATCTTCCCCAATCTCAATAGGAGTTCCATGTCCAATGTCAACAGTTGCTCTCTTAAAAGGAAAAACATTAGGATTTGGTGCCCCTCCAGCCAGAGAGATGAGAGATGGAGGAGAYTTCTGCATCAGTTCAGCTAGAGTAAAAGGAAGACACCCTTGGTTACAATTTGATTATTATAATAACAGTGATGATATCATTTAATCAATAGTTAATAATGGTCCAGAGAACTTGTTCTATTTTTTAATTTACTTGTTTAAGTATCAGAAATTCAAAAAGATAATTCTTCTTAAACTCACCTKTCTGTTTGGATTAAATAGGTGCTTGGGGGTGCACAGGGAGGGAGATACTGCTAGGACAGACTAAAAAAATACCATTTTAAGTTTAAAAATGTATTTGTAATTTATTTTATAACTATCTGGATAGTTCTACTATTATAAAAACTTYCGTGACTGATGTGTTTTGAGCTTCAAGAATTCAAAATCTTAATGATCTGATTAGATTGACTTGACACGATTTGCTTTGTTTTTTATTCTGTATTTCATTCAGTCTCACTTCTGCTGATCTGGCAGCTACACTGACAGATGGTTATAGCTTTTCTKTAAGGGAGTGGAAATGTTTCTGGCTGTCCAGTTTTAGTGGCAGAGGCACTGTGTAAGTAACTTGGTATTAAGAAAGTCTTAATTCCTGCTTTTAAGTCACAGTTTCACAATCATTGATATCCAATCTATGCAGTGTGGACTGGATCTTAATCCAGCAAGGGYACTTGATGGCATTAAATCTAAGAACTCACAATATGGTATTCATGCTGTCTTGACAGTTTTACATCAGATATCTAAGGACAGATGACACCAGATCTGTCTTAAAGCAGCCTGTTATCAAGTTCATTTTCCAGTACTTATTAGCAGACTTGAACATGGGGATTTAATTCTTATCAGTTAGTTCACCAATATGGGTTATGCCTGTGACTTTTGGCCTGGTAAAAAGAGATTTATTTGTCATCAAAACTACAGTCTCCCTGTGTCTTTCTGGAGGAGCTGTGCTACTCAATATTTTCGTTATGATGCATATCAATGCATCACTTGAAAAACAGACTGCCTAGAGTGAATTACTTGACTTAGCTGTACYTGTAAGAAACATTTTAAGCAGAAAAGCAAATGCCAGCCCCTTACCAAGTAGGGAAATTGACCCCTGAAGGCTTAGCTACTGATATATATCTCATGTTTGGATTCTGTCAGGTCTCTGTAGGTTTCAACTGAGTAAACAAGTAGGCAGTTAAGCTCTTCTATCTGTCACATGGAAGACTATGTAATGTGGTAGCCTAAAGACAGATTAATATGGAAAAGTGTAGTAATACTGAGGGCGTGGTGAGGCGTTTATGGACATGCATGGAATACAGGAAAAGTAGGTGGAAATAAACATGCTGGGACTGAATTTCAAGTCATTAGCAGTTGTTTGTTCCTGGACACCCACCATAAACTCAGTTGGAAACTGTGCCAAAAGGCCTGGTTCAGAGACCAGTAGCAGAGACTTCTCAGACACTTGGAGTGATAATACTTATTTTTCTCTTTGGCTTGGTTTCTGAAATGGTTTAAGGCTAATCACTTTATTTTTCTTTATACYTTCTTGGCATGCTCTGCTTGATGAAAGTAAAGTTATCTGGCCTTGCTTGTCAGTTTACAACACGATTTTCTTTCAAATCTTGTCATGATACCCCAGAACATAGACTCTTTTGGAGAAACTGGGAAGAAGGGACATGTACTCACTCAGGAGTCGTATTGGTGATGCTTTTCTTGCTGCACTTACAGTGGTGATGAACCTAGAGTAATTCATATCTATGGAGAAAGAGTAATTAGTTGAACATGAAGCTAGAAAAGGGAATAAGAACTGCAATATGCTTTCGGTATGTGCAGCTCCCACATGTAATGCTTTGAGCTGGGTAATTTGTTGTATGCCAGCAAACAGGAAAAARCCCTTTTTCCCCATCTTTACTGTCGGCTCTGGAGTTTTAAAGGCAAATTACAAATTTGAAAATTTGATGGTTCTTACACAACTATCAGCTCTTTTTTAGTTAGTGAGAATTCAGCTTTATTTAGCTGTATTAAGTGCTGCATTTGAAGTGCTTTTAGATTGCAAGCCATCATTACGAGTCACAACACTTTTCAAGTTAGAGGTGCTTTTTTTTGGAAAGGATAATTAAGAACGTCTTTGAAATATATTTGTTTTCCCTCCTTTTCCCTGGTACCCATAGATATTCAGTGGATAGTGAACTATGGGCCGGCARGATGCCCGAAGGCATGGAAAGGCCACAGTAAATCGTCCCTTTCTAAGGGAAGGAAAGCACAGGAATGAAATGGAAGGGCAAAGAGCAACCACAGCAACACGCATGTGCCAGCCTCTACTAGAAATGATCTACCGAGCAAGGCCGCTTTTAAAAAAACATCTCGCGCTTTCTAAAAATACCTCCCTTAACTTCGCTCCCCATCGGCTCGGCACAGGCGCGGTGCAAGCTGTRGACAAGGGCGGGCTGGGGCTGTGTTTTAAGGGATAGCGGAGGCGCCCTGCCCGAGGCGGTTCCCGAGACACCGCTCTGCTGCCCACCCCCAGCCCTCGCGGAGGGGGCACGGAGCCCTCAGGGCCATCCCGAGCTCACGGCCGGCGCCGTCCCCCGGTTCGGCGGCGGCCACGGGCACCTACCGGCGGAGGCCGCGGAGGCGACGGCCGGGCAGTGCAGGCGGCGGCGGCCCCGCTGTGGGCATGTGCTGTGCTGGGCCGGCCGGGCGGGGCCGTGAGCGGACACGGGGCTCTGGCCGGCACTGCCGCCTGCGCGCTGCGATTCTGYGCGGGTCCGGGCGACAGACCTAACACACCGGTTCCGTCTGTGTAGTGCCCACCAAGCGAGGACTGGAGCCCGATGGTGCGGGGAGATGTTGCCTCTGAGGGCAACCGGGCAAGGGGCAACCCCGGGGGCTGGGCAGGCCCGGGTGCGATCAGGGCCCAGCCGGCAGCGGTGGGGTGAAGCAGGGGCTGCCCAGCCCCCGGGGTTACCCCGGGGGCGGAAAACAGACGAGAACCACAGAATGGTTTGTCTTGGAAGGGACCTGAAAGATGATCTGGTTCCAAACACCCTGCCACGGGCAAGGACACCTTCCCCTAGACCTGGTTGCTCAGAGCTCATGCAACTTGGCTTTGAACACTTTCAAGGAAGGGACATCCCCAACTTCCCTGGGAAACATTGTGGCAGTGTCTCATCGCCCTCACAGTTAAGAATATCTCTCTAGTATCCAATCTAAACTTACTYTCTCTCAGTTTGAAGCCATTTCCCCTTGGCACTTGTAAAAGGTCCCTCTCCAGCYCTCTTGTAGCCCCCTTTGGGTACTGGCAGGTGCTCTAAGGTCTCCCTGGAGTCTTCAGGCTGAACAACCCCAGTTCTCTCTGTCTTCATAGAAAAGATGCTCCAGCTTTCGTAGCCCTCCTTTGCACTTGCTGCAACAGGTCAATTCCTTTCCTGCGCTGGGGTGGAGGCGCTCTGTGTGGGAGGTCTCATAAAAGTGAAATAGAAGGGCAAAGTCGCTTCCCTCCTAATGATAATGGTCACACACTTTAATGAAATTTGTGGTGTTTCTACTAAAGGTTCTGCTCATAAAAGGAAGCAGTGTTTTGTTTAAAATCGAAGTCGGACATCTGTGAGTAATTTTTTTCCCACAGATGAATAGGACCAGTAGAAGGAAGAGGATGGTGGTGTGACATGTCCCTCCTTGCTGGGTGTCACATGTTGTTGCTGGTGCAACACGTGTAACTGGTGGTGTAGATGCTGCTGCTTGGAAAGGTGCAGAGGTAGAGAGTAATTTTCTAGTCATGGCTTTGGACTTCAGCACTCTGAAGTTGCCATGGCATGGCAAAATCAGCTGTGCTTTGCACTACGGGTCTTTTTAGTTAACTTGGAGACAGGAGAGTGAAAATACTGCATGGGATGAGCACCGGAGCATTTCTAGGTTTCAATTCAGTAAATCACCAGGCTTTATGGTGCCCCACTGCTCAAAGCATGTTTTAATTGCAACCTTCCAAAACTTGCTGAAGGCAAAGCTGAGATATGAGGACAAAATGTTTCTACAAAATAGATGAGGTGCTTCAACAGGATACCTTCCCCCTCTCCCCGCCCTTCAATTTTGGTGACATTATGCAGTATTTGTRTCTGCTGAAAGGCTTCATAATTTGATGGAGTAGGTTGAAATAGAAATGGAGTTCTTGTCAAGTTTGTGATGCAGTGAAGAAGGATTGTATGCATTGTGTGAATGCTCTTACACTGAAAATCAAATTTTATAAATAACTTTAATGATCTGAAGAATTTATAATTTAGGTAATTACCTTCTAATAGTGTGACATACAGACAAAAATACAAGATGGATCTATAAATGTGAAATAGCAAATRGAGATATTGAACTTCTGTGGGGTTCTGGCTGTGAAAGACTAATTGAATCTGAGCTGCTTTTTGTGTAATTCTGTTTTTTCATTTCCTGGCTGTCAGTGTTGCAGTTTGAGACACAGACCAAAGCCCAGAGAAGTCAAGGGAAGGTTTTCCATTTTCAATTGATTTTTGTGGGCTTTGAGTGGTCTCTTAGCCAATTATGGTGTCATTCTATTGAAACAAATTAAAAAAAAAATAGCGTACAGTTGTTTGGATGCTTTTCTCAGCTGGATTCATCTGGCAATTCTCTGCATCACTGTTTATATTCCTTAGCAACCACAAGTCGAGTGCTCTGTTTTACTACTGTGTGAGAAGTTCTATCTTTGCTGTCTTTGTTTATTACATGCACACTTAGAACAATAATGATTTGGTGCAAGTCTTGCATAATTCATGAAGCGTCGGTAAGGTCTACCGATGGTTGTTGTCAATGTCTACTGTCATTTGAAACTGTACTACCTCTCCCTAAACTTGCTACGTGCTATGTCCACTGCTGTGTTAAACAACAAAAGGAGGAAAAAAGCCTAAAGCAATCGATTTGAGAAGAAAAGGGAGGTAAGGTAATTRTTACTTCATTGTTTCCTTCTCCCCTAAGGACTTCAGGGTATTTCTTTTCAGAGGACCAAGAGGAGGACAAAAGATTGAAACAGTAAACACTCAAAAATTTAACTGAGTTGCTGTTTTTGCAATTGTATCAACAAAGTGTAAATCTCTCCAAGAGTCTGCAAWATAGTCTAGGATGCTATATATCTTTTAGTTTTATAACATGTTTATTCTGTGATGTTTGACTACCCTATTTGAAGCGATCATTTCACATCGATTAAATGTGGGTGTATGACAAACATGGTGCTGTGGGCAGAGAAGCGAGCGCGGAGCAGAGCTGCTCCCGAAGGATTAAAAGCTGGCGGTCCGGGTGATCCTTGGCAGTGCAGGGCTCGCACCGGCGCTCGGTGGCCGCAGGGTGGCGTGTGCGCACTGCGTGTCCGGGCAGCGAGCTCTGGCTGAACAGGAATTCCAGCTAAAAATCATATTGCCATCTTTTATTTGGCTGTAATTTATAGTAGTGATTAAGAATCCTGCCTGAACAGCTAGGCTACTTGCGTTTCAGTGAACGGGTTAAATTTATGCCGGTAATGCTTCTTGCGGGTTGGGGGCAGCAGAACTGGAAAGTGGTGCTGTCAAAATAGCCTTATGGTGTCAAGTTGGGAATTTTATCGTGATGAATTGGAATGGCTGCCCATGAGAAAGTCGCGTAAGACCGGAAAATGGAGAAGTGTCAGATCAGCCATTTTAAACTTTAGAAGCAAATTGTTTCTGCCAAGGGCTGCCTTCCCGAGGATRAATGCTGACTTTGGCAGCACCTTTGTGTTTGCAGAACACCCTCTGTGTGCGGCAAGCCATCACTGGTGTGCAGCAGCCTCTGAGATCAGGAGGCTCTCAGAAGTATAGAACAGTTTGAATCTAGGATGTGAACATCCACTGGCACAATCACTGCAGAGATCAGAGGTATCTCGTTTTCCTGTGGGAAGCTAAAATGACTAGAAGTGTGTTGCCTCTGGGTCTGGAGACAATTAGCGGAAGAGATGTGAAGTTAGTTGTCCTTTGGCTTGCAGATTACTTGAGTGATTTCACGACTTTTGTCTGTCTTTACTGTAGGCTCTTGGGAAAGTAACACTTCTGTTCTTCCTTTATGTTGTGCCTTTTTCAGCAGGACCCTGATCTTGCTGGACCTAACCAGAGCTGCTGCAAAAGAAGTAGAATGCTGCCCGTTTGCTCCTCTCCCTCTCTGAGGCAACTGCATAGTAAAACCTATGTATCTTTATCCAGGGTTTTAAAACAAGTTGCATTCCTAAAATGGGAGAGGGCTTAAGGAAGAGTGAAGATTGATTCTCAAAATTACAAATCCTGCTGCTTATCCAAATGAAATTAAAGAGCATCCTAGTCTCACTTGTATGTTTGTTGATCTCAGTGTTAGGAGGACATGCTTATGTGCTTTCTGCTGCTGTTCATGTTATTACATACACACGTCACTTTTTTGGTAATAGCTAGCTCCTTATTATGCTTCAGAGGCTGTCAGATAAAAGTAACAGGACACCCATGATATCCATAATATTTGTAGCAGCTGTCAAATGACACTGTCTTACAGTGGAAGATGTGCAGCTCTGCAGAGTGACAGCTGTGGATTGTATATGTTTGAAGCAGCCCTCTCTGCTTCAAGGGTGGTTTCACCTAGGCACTGAGACATATAGCAGTCTTACTCTGATTGACAACGTTTTTTATTCTCCTTTTTTTGGTTTTCTTTTTTNTTTTTTTTTTTTTTTTTTTTTTTTTTTTTTGAGTGTACAAGGATCGTCATCATTGGCTTCATCTTGGCTTTTTTATCCAACCAAACAAAGGAGAGAGAACAGTATCTAGAACAACAATTTTCTAGATATTTTAAGAAAGCTATAGAAAAGCTGACTAATATATTCCTCAAAAGCAGTTGCTTGTTCCAGAATGTGTTCCTGTGATAGGATTTCTAATACAGTGAGATGTTTGCCTTAGCCTTCCTGTGCTTAAAACAAAAAAGGACTGATATTTTTCAGATCACTTTGTCCATGCTATAGAGGCTGAAATTGGATGGAACAAAGATCAATAATGTATCCAGTTAATACACTAATGTATAGATGAAATTAATCATAAGAAATTAAATGATTTTTCCTACACATCTTGAGATAAATGCTTTTCCATAATACCTCAGTCTTGTCAATTTGAATTTATATTATAGGCAAACAGTTGCTGACGTGTGAACTCTATTGTGTAAATCTCCCAGGAAGCAGGTACTCGCTATTATTTGTGACATGTGTTATTCCCAGGGCTCAACCTTTGTTATCCATTTTCATTTAGTGAAGGCAAAAGAGTTTTTCTCCCCTGGCCTTGACTATTACTCTGTTCCTAACAAGGTCATATGTTTGTCTGGTACAAGTGGGGCATGGAAAAAGGAATGATCCTAAAGGCAGAATGAGATAATGGAAAAGTAAAATTGTTGCTTTATTCTTGTCGCTGCCTGGGGGAAAAAAGCTTCTCAGGCATGGTGACAACTGGTACTGGAGATGTTGTGTTTTTGTGTCTGTGTTTTGAAGTTTGTCAATTCAGCATGAAAGAATTTGCTGGTTTTGCATCTAGCTGTCTTCAAACTGATGAAGATACTTTTTAATTGCTAATTTTTGATTAAAATTTGGCCTTTTGTCATGAAAGTAAGCTGGGCATTTATCTATTAAATTTTAATTTCTGGGTCTTTTATAAACAAACAAAAATTCAGATTATTCTTCTGTATCCTACTGCAAACC